CCAATGGGATCTCTCAGTGCTTCCCACTTGTACCTCTTCCTTCCTGAACGAAAAGACCAGCCTTCCCATTCCCACATCTCTGCCTCTTCCTCCTTGTTCCTGGGGTACTTTCCTTTCTGTCTTCAGTCTGTCTAAACTCCCCCATTCATCCCCTGCCTTGTCCTGCCTTCTCTTCTCTCATGAAGTCCTTTGCCATCTTGGAGGCATGGAAAAAAGACAAACATATGTATTGGGCAGCAACACAAGGTAGAAATTGGAAAAGGGCAGAGAAGTCTCCAGAGGACATGACCCTAAGCTAGGCCCCAAGGGGTGGTTAGGCTTGGATGTAAGCGAGAACCCACAAGAGGAAAGGCCTGGGAAATGGACATTCACAGTATAGAATAAGTTGCTTGACCAGAGAGAGACACAATACACCAGCGAAAAGCTCCTGAGCCTGGAGAATAGGAGACTGGGCTTTTGTTCTGGTTCCATCCGTGTGTCACTGCATGATCTCAGGCTAATTTTTAACTGCTCTGGGTCTCAGTTTCCTCATCCAGAATGGAAAGGATAATCATATCTAATTCATGGGGTTGTCTGTAGGAATCATCAGAAGATCTTTTAGCACAGTGCCTGGCCTCCATAAACATTAGCTGTATTGCTAATAGCACTCTGGGTCTTGTTTCCTTTATCTTAAAATGAGTTAAGTTGCACTAGGTTGGTGTTTCCTGATGTAAATTTCACCACAAGCCCGTGCATAACTTGCACCAAGACCTCATTTGCAGAAGCCAAAGCTTTTAGGGGGTCATGAGGCCACTTATAAGAAGACAGCCACCCCTGTGTTCCAAGCCAGTGTCCTGGGAAATTTATTATGCTTGTGTAATTCAGATGTTCTATTGGAGACAGGAAGTGCAGCCCTGAAGTCTATATCTGAGACATATTCTTCTACCCAGGACTTATACAGGCCATTGACAAAAGATGCTTACGTTGCAAAGGAGAAAACCGAGAAGACCCAGAGGTCCCACTTCAGGGCATGTAGCTAGTTAATGGCAGATTCAGAATCAGAACCCCAATCTCTAGACCCAGTCAGGGTTCTTTCTATGGCAGCAGGTGACTTCCCAAACCTCATCTTTTCCCAACTGCTCGCAAGCACATGCATGTAAGCCTGTGGACACACACACACATACAGCTTGTCAGCACCTGCAAACACGGAAGGCCCTGGCTCCTATCCAGTTCTCAGGAGCAGCTGCAGCTCAAATCCCTCCTTTTGCTGTAACCCTCACCCCACCCCCCTCCCCTGGTTATGCAACCCTTTTCCAATTTGGCTCTCAGCAACACACCATTTGTATTCCCTGACCTTAATCCTGCCCAGTGAGGCTGAAATGAATGAGGCAGGGCTTCACTCTGGCTGCACAAAGGCTGCACTGTCCAACTGATGAATGAGAGCCTTCTGCGTGGGCCAGGAGGAAGATTTAGAGGGGGGAAGCAGCAAGAAGGAGCCCAAGGTCTAGCATAATAACATGCATGTGCCAACACATGACATGGCCCTTTAAAAGGATGGGCCTGGCTTTGGGGAGCCATAGAAGAGCTGCGCGGCTGGCAGGCAGAGAGGCTGAGGATGGCAGAGGCGGGGGCCCTGCCCACAGGCTTCGGCGAGCTCGAGGTGCTGGCTGTGGGAGTGGTGCTGCTGGTGGAAGGTGAGCCAGGCAAGACCTGGGCTGGAGAGGGGGCCCAGTGGGTTCTGAGAACCCAGGCCACAGCCGTGGAGCTGGCAGGGGGAGGTCCCCAAACCCGGCTGGGGTATCATGTCCTCTTGGCTGCCTGCTCCTGTGTGCCTGGACCCATGGTGGCTTCTGATGGCTGCACCTGTGGGATGCAGCATGCTGGCTGGGAGCCAGGAGAGAGATGTCAGGCAAGGGTCAGGGAGGCAGAGAGAGGGAGACATCTGCCCAGAGATGCGTGGGATGCAGCGTGCTGGCTGGGAGCCAGGAGAGAGATGTCAGGCAAGGGCCAGGGAGGCAGAGAGAGGGAGACATCTGCCCAGAGATGACCAAGAACCAGGCTTCAGGACTTTGTGGGATGCAGCATGCTGGCTGGGAGCCAGGAGAGAGATGTCAGGCAAGGGTCAGGGAGGCAGAGAGAGGGAGACATCTGCCCAGAGATGACCAAGAACCAGGCTTCAGGACTTTTCGTGTCCCTCCCGCCAGGAGAAAATTTAATCCACTCCCTGGAAATCCTGCTAAGAATCTTGTATAAGATCAGGCCCTCGAAAGGCTCTGGAGACAGACGGCTCTGCCACCTGCTCTCTGTGTGACTGTTACCAAGTCACTTCAGCTCTGACCCTCAGTGCCCTAACATTCTAAATGGGTGGCTGTGAGGGTCAAATGGGATCATGGGTATGAAGTGCTAGCCTAGATAGGCACCTGGGGAATTTGTGTTCGTTCACTCCCACCCTCTCCTGTCCCCCGCCCCCATTACTTCCACCAGGTCCACTCCCACAACCCTAAGCGTTTTCCCTCCAGGGGCACCCTGGGTCTATGAGGTGACTGCCTCAATCCAGAATCCCTAAGATGCTCCCTGAGGCCGGAACTAGAGACAGTGTCGACCTGGAGCTGAACCAGCCCAAGCTAGGTTGATAGGGAATGCCACCCTGTTCAAAGCAGATCCAGGAAAATAATCAGCATATTTTCTCACTCAGTGAGAGCTGACAGTGGAGAGGGAGTCATGGCCACTAGAGTAGTCCCAGAGGCCCTGGACATCATTATCTGGTGACCTTAGCCTGCTTCTCCCCTTTATGGGAACTCTACAATCTAACATCCCTCCAGTTCCTCAAATATGCCATGAAATTTTACCACTTTATGTCTTTGCCCATGCTGTTCCCTCTTTCTGGAATGCTCTTCCCTGCACTGTCCTCCAGGTAAAATGCTCACAGTTTTGAAGGCAGGATCATTTCCTGTTCTTCGCTTTAGATGTGGGGGCCAAGGTTCAAAGAGCCTAAGGGGCAGCAAGTGAGTGAATAAGCTGAAATTCAAGGTCAGGTCTTTCTACCGCCGGAGAACACCCCCTTCAAATTTTCCTCACTACCTGGGGTCCTGGGCAGCTCCCAACTCTAACACCAGTTCCTCGTCTAGGGCTCTCCCTGACATTGCTCCTCAGCCCTTGGAGAAGGCATTTTGGAATCTGAGAGACCTGAGTCTGAGTTCCAGCTCACCATTTACTAGCTATATACTTAGGGCAAGTTAGCTAGCATTTCTGAGCCTCAGTTTCCCAACTCTAAATGGAAGGAGAGTATCCAAGTGAAGACTGCTTGAGATGATCCATGTAAGTGCTTATCTCGGTGCCTGGCACGTGGTAAGTGCTCAGTGGGTGTCCGTGATTGTGAACGCTTGTAGCGTGAACCACGCTGCACTACATCGGCTGCCTTCCTTGTCTGTCTCCCCACCAGGCTGTGAGCTGGTAGAGAGCAGGGTGTGCATCTCGGAGCTTTCATATCTGAGGATCTGCCCACCTCAGTAGTGTCTGATGAACTGTACTGGGAGGGCTGCTGAGCATGACGTGGGGAGGTTGCTGAAGCTCCATCCAGCCCATGAGCCCCAGTGCCAGCCCCCGCCCTTCCTTTCAGCTCTCTCCGGTCTCAGCCTCAATAGCCTGACCATCTTCTCTTTCTGCAAGACCCCAGAGCTGCGGACTCCCTGCCACCTGCTGGTGCTGAGCGTGGCTCTTGCGGACAGTGGGATCAGCCTGAATGCCCTCGTTGCAGCCACATCCAGCCTCCTCCGGTACAGGCCCCCTCCCCAGTCCACGGGCTCTGGGGCCCTGCTCGAGGCCTGACCTCTGGGCATTGGGCGGCCAGGTCAGAAACATTCTTTCTACCTATCGAAAACTGAGCCAGGCCAGAGGGTGAGCAGGCTGAACTAGGCTATATCTGAGTTCCAGATTATCCCTGAAGAACCGCAGCCGATATCTGGGATGCAGAGGTTGCTCAAACTGACCAAATTGATGGCAGACTGTAGGGATTACTAGCATGGGCTCTGTAACCAGGCAGCCCTGGTCTGAATCCTGGCTTCATCATTTCTAGTTCTGGGCTCCTTCTGTAAATTGAATGTTATTACCTAATTCAAATGGGTGGTTGGAAGTATTGACTTTTATTATTTGTAAATAGCTTAAAACAATGCTCACCACCTAGAAAGTCCTAAATAAGCATTTGTAAAAGCAAACAGGATTTTGACTATTGTCTAATACCTCCTTATGGGCAAACCAGGGTCTTCCAACAGGCTTCAAAAAGGGTTCATAAGATTATTTTCTTAAGCAGACTAGTTTTGGGCATTACAGACAGAGGCTGGAGCCCACCTGGGTGTGAATGCCCAGGGCTGACCAGTCAGTGTGGTTGGAATCAGTGCGGACTCCTCCTCTGACCACAAACTGAAGTTTCTTCCTCTGCTTGGCCCACATGGCGAGGACTGGAAGGCCTAGGGTCTACCTCTGACTTTGCCTTCATCTGCCGCGAGACCTCAGCTCAGTGCTTTTTCCTCTGTGCCTCAGTTTCCCCAGCGGTAGAATAGAAGAATGAGCTCTCTGTGATGGAGGCATCTGATCCAACCGCGGTGTAGGAAAAGTTGCCAAGCCCGGAGAGTTGGCACTTCAGCCCAGTGACAAGCTCTGAGATCCCAGTTTCCTCACAGGAAAAAGACAGATAAGGCCCTCCCGGAGGAGCAGAGTCAACATTCAGGAACACGCCCTCCAAACTGGGCAGGTGTGGGAAGCGGGAAGGGAGGGGTCACTGGTGCCCAGTGTCTCCCACAGGCGCTGGCCCTACGGATCAGACGGCTGCCAGGCTCACGGCTTTCAGGGCTTTGTGACCTCATTGGCCAGCATCTGCGGCAGTGCAGCCATCGCCTGGGGGCGCTATCACCACTACTGCACTCGTATGTCTCTGGGCCCCCAGAGTGGGAGGGACACCCCTGCAGAATGCGGAAGCTAAGGACAGGTGGGAGGGGTTGTCGGAACTGAGGTCTGTTCAGTGTTTCCCAGTACAGGGAACATGGGTGGGTGTGAGTGTGCATGCGTGTAGTGTGCATGCGTGTAGTGTGCATGCGTGTAGTGTGCACGTGTGTAGTGTGCACGTGTGTAGTGTGCACGTGTGTAGTGTGCACGTGTGTAGTGTGCAGACACCCACTGCAGTAAAGGAGGGAGAGTGGGAGTGCTTGCAGGAGACCTGTTGAAGTGCATATTAGAAAGGCTGTCTATTGCCATCGCTGCAGCCTTGTGTGCAGACACCCACTGCAGTAAAGGAGGGAGAGTGGGAGCGCTTGCAGGAGACCTGTTGAAGTGCATATTAGAAAGGCTGTCTATTGCCATCGCTGCAGCCTTGGGCAAATCAGGGATCCTCTCTGAACTTTAGTCTCCTCCTCCGTAAGATAATTTTAATAACGAGCCTCAGCTTTGTTTTGAAAATCAAATGAGATCATGGATGCAGAAAATGCCCTTGCAGATGGGCACTACTGGGAGCAGAGAGGCCATGTGTTTGTGGG